GTAGTGTTTTTGTATTAAACTACAAATGGTTTCAAATATTTTAATTTATTAACAAAACTATTCTTTTTAATTTCTTAATTTTTTGTCACAATCTTTAAGTACAATTTACCTAATTAATTTTAACTTTATTTTTTTTGGCTAAAGTATATTTTTAGCCCCTCACCTTAATTAGTTTGAAGGTTTTAGTTTCTTACCTTATACTATAAAGTTTTTATTCCCTGAATTTAAAGATTTGAAGATTTTACCCCCTTAAATTGACAAAATCCCTTAAACTAATGGAATCTGTTAACTTTCTGTTAAAATGAGAATAAAATATTTACAAAATCAATCCTTAAAGAATAAAAATATAATAATTTAGTCCCAAAGTTTTAAAAAAAATTAGTAATTTAAAAATAATTAGCGGATGTCTTTATCACATACATGAAAACAATATTAGATATCTACAATCAAATTAAGTGATTAGCTCAATTTGAAAAAAAAAATTCTGATTGAGATTTAAGAGAAAATTTTAATTGTATTCTTTAAGTCTTTTAGACTTTTTATCTTAATTCAGTCAAGAAAATTTTTCAAGAAAATTTTCTTTAATTTTAGTCAAAATTCCTTTTAATTTTAGTCAAAATTCCTTCTTAAAATTGAGTTAATCACTTGATTTATTATAGATATCTACTACTTTTCTCGTGTATGTAGCAAAGACATTTATTAATTCTTTTAAATTTTATAATTTTTTTTTAAATTTTATAATTTTTTTAATTTTTAAACTTTGGGCCTAAATTATTATATTTTTAATCTTTAAATACTTATTTTATAAATATTTTATTCTCAATAACTCTGTTAGTCTAAAGGTTAAAATCTTCATATATTTATTTAGGAGCTAAAACTTCATACTGTAAGGTGATGAGCTAAAAACTTATTAAAGTGAGAGACTAAAGGTAAAGGTCTATTTTAGCTTTATTTTTTTTAATAATATTAAATTATTATTATATTTTTATTTTTTTACATTAACTTATCTTCAAAAAAAATATTAATTTAATAAACAAATTTTGTTAGTTAAATGAAATAATTAGAAGTTTTTTTTTCTTTATTTAAAATTAATATAATTTTCTTTGTTAAAAATAAAAATTGGTGTATAATTCACCCTTTTATATTATATTATATTATATTTATTATTTTTATAAAATTAATAATTTTAATAACAAAAAATATATACTTTACAATAACTATTAATTATTATATAACTAAATAATTATATCAATTAAAATTTATTATCTACAATTTATTACTTATTTTTCACTATCCATCATCCATTATTTACTAACAATTATTCATAGAGATGTCAACAAGGCTCCGCGGGGTCGGGGAGTCATTCCTCGTCTCCATCTTCGAGAATGGCAGGGACGGGGATCCTTACAAGGATTTTTAACGAGGGGCAAATTTTGCCCTCCATCCTCGTTCCTCGAGGGGAATGGGGATTCCCACGGAAATCCCATTCCTCACCAATTAATATAAAAAAATAATTTTTTACATATAATTAATTAATATTCAATTATAATGAATGAAATTCTAATAATTCAAGTATAATTAATTAAAATTCTTTAAATATAAATTATCTAGACATAAATAAAAATCAATCCAACATAAATAACTAAAAGGTTAATAATGAGTTGGGTAAAATTGGATTAAATTTAAATTTTATTGAATTGTATTTGGGTTTCAAGGTTGAATTAAATTTAAAATAAAATTAATTTACATATTTTTAAAATTTTTTGCAGGGATGGGGATCCCTACGGAGCAGAGAAAATTCTTTGCCAATTTTCGCAAAGAGAAAATGCTTCTTGTCCATGCCTCACGAGGAGAAATATTCCTCCTAACCCTGTCCCTATGGTGGGGATCCCTGCATGACGCCACGGGGATTGAAACAAATTGCCATCCCTAATTATTCACCTAACAATCATTTACCCATATGTTACTACTATTTATTATCCGCTATTAATTTTATATGTTAAATTTTAACTACTATTTCAATTAGGCTAGGCAGAGCAGTTTAAACAAGGGGCCTTCTATTTCAATTAGTATCAGATCTACGCCATGTTCCCCCCAGAACAAGATGCTTTCTCTTGGCTCATTTTCATCATCCTGATTCTTG